TGGGCGCTGATCCATGTGTCTCACATCCTCTTCTGGGATCAACAGACCAGTCTGGGTGAGTTTTGCACAAGGCAAGCGCAGAAGCAGAAGAGAGCAAGCCCAGCCCTGCACCTGCTGCTCAAGCCCATGTCACATTGCATGTCACAGTAAACGTCTCATTGGCCAAAGCAAGGCATATGGCCAATTCCAAAATCAAGGATTACAGACGTAGTCTTTTCATGGGAGTAGAGAGAAAAGAGTTAATGTTTTTGAACAGCTACCTAAATTGCCACATAGGGAATTTCCAGGGAGCCCCGATTAAGAGTTTTAATCTTTTGTGGATTTTTCCGATGCACTATCTTTTTATGATATGCTTTACAACTTATGTACAAATATATTCCTCATTCAATCATCACAGTTCTATGAGGCGGGCATATTATTATTTCGAATTCATAAACCAGGAAACTGAGGCTTTGAGGGTTTAACCCTTGTGCAGAGAGATTATGGATGACAGAGTGACCTTTCAGCTTCTCCTCTTAAATCTTTTGCTAAAATGCTCTACCTGATTATTTGGCACTAAGAAATTGCTTTCCTGACTGTTGCTAGAAGTCCTGCTAGCAGCTTGGAACACATACTCCTTCTCATCTGGGCAGAATATAATTATTGATATGATTTTGAGCTGCTGTAATTTCATTCTGCTAAAAAATCACAGCATGAATGTATAATATTAGGAAGACTTTGGGGCTAAAGAAAACAAAATGTCTGGAAAAAAGCTGCCATATGTACAAGATTCAAGTGGCACCTGTGTGTGCTCATTACACCCCATCATCCTGTGTCTGTCCAATTTGTTCCTCAGGTAACTCGAAAGACTCACGTGGCTGCAACTACAGTGTTTTGAGGTCCTCAGCTTGCTTCCAGCTCGTGCCCAACAAAACGTTTCATTATTTTACCTTGTGTCACACGTGCAGACAGTATTTCTCCTCTCAGCCAAGTGAGTACACGCCTTCTACAGAGAGTAGCATGTTTATCTTAATGCATATCAACGCCCCCCCACCCCATGTCTTGGAAAAACCAATGACGTTAACTTAGAGGAGTGAGCAGGCTCGGGGGCAGGGATTTGGACAGGGACAGAGGAGTCTCGAAGGAAGAAGAGCAAGGCAGGACAACCTAGAACATACATGGTATAAATTACCGAATTTGGAACTTGCCAAGATCTTAGAGTGGTCTCCAAACTTTTTACAGTTGAATAAATGAAGTATACTGTGAATTCTTAATAATTCTAAGTAAGTTAATGAATGGCAAACTGAAAATTTAACCACCGCTCCTAGGCCTGTGTGATAGTTAATTTTATGTGTCAACTTGGCTAAGCTATGGTGCTCAGTTCTTTGGTCAAATGTTAGTCTAGATGTTGCCATTAAAGGTATTTCGTAGGTGTGATTGACACCTACAACCAGCTGATGTTAAGTAAATCATTGGCTTTTATGTAAGTAAATTGGATGAGGTCCACCCTCGATAATGTAGGTGGGCCTCATCCAATCAGTTGAAGGCACAAAGAGCAAAATCTGAGGTTTCTGGAGAAGAAGAAATTCTGCCTCAAGACTGAAGCATAGAAGTCCCGCCTGAGTTTCCAGCCTGCTGGCCTGTGCTACGTATTTCAGACTTGCCAATCTGCACAGTTATGTAATCCAATTCCTTAAAATGTGTTTCTCTCCCTGTCTTTCTCTCTCTCTCTACTCGCGCGCGCGAGCACACACACACACAGACACACACACGCACACACACACACACACACAGACACACACACACACACACCCTGTTGGTTCTGGTTCTCTGGAGACCCGTGAGGGATATAGATTTTGGTATCGAGAGTGGGGTGCTCTGTAACATATACCCGAAAATTGAAATTTTGGAATTGAGTAATGGACAGAGGCTGGAAGAATTTTGAAGCATATGTTGGAAAAGACTAGATGGACCTGAAGAGACTGTCGTTAGGAACGTGGGTGCTGACGGTGATTCTGTGAGGGCTCAGACAGAGACCACATAGTGGGACTGTCCGAGGACAACAGAGGCAGAGATTGGAGTGATGCTGCCACAAGCCAGGGAACTCTTGGGGCTACGGGAAGTGGGAAGAGGCAAGGAAGGATCCTCCCTAGGAGGCTTTGGAGGAGGAATGGTCCCGCAAGCATCTTGATCTTGGACTTCTGGCCTCCAGAACCATGAGAGCATAAAGTTCTGTTGTCCTAAGTCACCCAGTTTTGGTTCTTTGTTACAGTGGCCCTAAGATACTGACACATGTGTGTTCTGTTCTAAATCTGGCACAGTGCTAGGCCCTAGGGCTACACAAAAACCAGTAAATATCCACTTCTCAAAAGTGGATTTTGTATTTAGTATTCACAAAGAACACAGACATGGGCTAGTCTAGCACGCCTGTGAAATAAAAGAGAGTCGAGAGAACACCCCAAATATCAGCCATCACCATTGCTTGGGGATCAGATACCAGTTTCTTTATTTAATCTCATAAAAGGGCAGTTTTAACAATATGTGCTGTGAATCGAAATACCAGGTCTATGTCAACTAGAAAGAACAGGAAATGTTTCCTGGAGGAACTGTTGCCTTAATCTCATCTGAAAGGTGCATGGGATTTAGATGGACAAAGAATGGAAAGAAATACATTCCAAAAGAGCCAATTTTACAGGCAAAGACACGGAGGCTGGGATGAATAAGTCACTATTAAACTCTTACTGTGTATCGTGAACTGCAGGTTTGGCCTTAATTAACTCCTAAGCATCCCAACAAGTTGAGCATTATTTTCCCCACTGCAAATATGAGAACATTGGAATATAAGGATTCATCCAAAGTCACATGGCTGGGAAGTGGTGGATCTCTGGGTTCGGTATTCATACATTCTAATTGCCCACCTTTATGGGGTACAATTTGATGCTTCAATACACATATATTGTATAATGATCAAATCATAGTATTTAGTGCATCCATCACTTTTGTGATTTTCAGTGTGATGATGTGATCCCATTTGTCTCTTGTTCTTTTGTTGTCTGTGCTTTGAAGGTTGTCTTTAAAAATTTCCTGCCCAGAAAAATGTCACAAAGCATTTCCCCTATGTTTTCTTCTAGCAGTTTCATAGTTTTGGGTTTTACATTTAAGGCTTTAATCCATTTTGAGTTGACATTTATATATCATGAGGAGTAGGTACCTAGTCTCCTTTTCCTCCATGTGGTTACCCAATTTTCCCAGAATCTTTTATTGAAGAAACTGTCTTTTTCTCAATATGTGTTCCTAGCACTTTTGTTAAAAAATCAGTTGGCTGTAGGCTCTCTATTCTGTTCCATTGGTTTATGTGTCTGTTTTTATGCCAACACCATACTGTTTTGGTTACTATAGGCTTGTAGTATATTTTGAAATCAGGAAGGATGATGCCTCCAGCTTTGCTCCTTTAGCTCAGGATTGCTTTAGTTATTTGGGGTCTTTTGTGATCCCACATGAATCCTAGGATTGAAAAAGCTCTATTTATTTTCCTTACATTTGCACCATCTACCCTTTTAGTGGGTTGAATTAACATGGTAGACCTGGAGATAGAGTGAGAAAATAAAGTACCAACAATTCTAGGCTACCAATGCAGCATTTTAATAGTTTGGTGACTAAATAAAAATATATGTAATTATCACTGGTGCAAATAGGAAGATATCAGTCATCTATTTTGATCTATTGATGTGGCACCACTAGGATGCAATTGGGCCCAATCTTCCATGTGGCTTTTCTCTATAATGGAATCATTGATTCTCTAGCACTGAGCAGAATTGTGTGATCCAGCTTCATGGCTTTTTTTTTCTTTTTAGTAAATTTGTCCTCTGTTACTTGATACTATATAATACAAAAAGAGCTTTCAATGAGCAATTCATTTGGGACATCCCTGTGCAATCTGAAGCTGAGGGAGTCCAGATAACAACCTGAATTCTGCAGCCCAAAATATCTCTCTGGCCATTCCTTTGCACTTACTGCTTCATAATATGGGGGAAGAACCCTGTGCTGGGAACCTGGAAATTGCAAAAGTGTAGCTGACAGTTCCTGAGCTGTGCTTTATGCCACAAATACCGACGGTTCTATGTGTAGGCTCTCATTTTGTCACCAAAACAACCCTCTGAAGTAAGTACTACTACCCACATTTTATGAAAAGGAAACCAAGACAGGTTACATAGCTTGCTGCAGTAACTTAGCAGAGTATGGTATCTAAACAGGTATTTACACTCAGGGATGTCTAAACTGAAAGTCCCTTCTCTCAACCACATTGGTGCACTACCATTTTGGGTATATAGCAGGTGCTCAATAAACACACAGATTATTGAATAAAAGATGTTGTCTTTGATACACATTCACTCGTGATATGGGAGTGAATTTTTCCCCCTGGGTTTTACATTCCTATCTTCACAACATAAATGTTGGATTAGGAAACTTCTAAATCTCCTTCCACCTGTGCCTACCTGTGTTTCTAAGATACATTTAAATACTTGGTTATCTGGTTAATTGCAATAGCAGAAAAACCCCCCAAATTAATTCTCATCCCAATACAGACCATAGAACATTCTTCATTATTATGAATAGTCTTTTTTTGGTGAGTCTAGAATTTAAAAACTAGAAAGACACAAAACAAAACAAAACAAAAACCAGAGTAAGGAAGAACAAGCAAAATGCGATGATGATAAAGTCAGTAGTCCAGACCTAGGGAGATGGAGCACAGTTGTGAAGGGTGGGCCACATTTTTGGCTATGAGTTCTTAATGACCAGCTTCTCTAGCTGACACAAGAGGGGCTGAATGGCAGCTTCCTAATTGGAGGCAATCTACAACTAAGGAATGATGAGCAAGGTGGTGAGCCTGGGCTCGATGCTACCTGGCGAGTGGACAATAAACTTGGAGTCCAAGCCACGGCCCTGCCAGGCAGAGGCCGGCTGGGCTGGGATGAAGCAGGCAGGACCTAGGGCTTCAAGGAGCTGGGGAAGCCTCTTACCTGCGGTTGAGCATATGATGCACCTTCACGTGTGTTAGAGGCAGAGGTGGGAGGCAGGGTTGGTGGGGGCAGAAGGCAGAAGCCGAGACTGCTAAGCTGAAATCAAGCTGTCGATCCACAGGAGTTAACTGAAAGTTGGAGCCAAAAGGGGCTGAAGCCAAAAGGGGGTTGTGAAACCTGGAAAAGAAGCAGGATAGAAGCAGGAGCTAAGCAGGCAGACTGGAGAGGACTGGGGCAATTCCAGAGTCAGAATGTGGGTGACAGTAGTGTCATCTGGTGCTGTCACCCCATGGACTTGGGGCCACGCAGGGTGCATTTAAGGAGCTGAGGCAGGGTGGAGAGCAGACCGGACTGGCTATGTGCCCGTCCTCTGTACTGGTTCAGCAGCCTCTCTGAGGCCCGAGGCAAGGAGGTCCTGCTCAGGAGCTGCCTGGAAACCAGCTCTCCTGCGTGGGCCTCGCAGTTTACAAAGAGCTTCACTAGAAGCCTTGCCAATGGGTTTAGGACTCACAGTGGGGACTTGAAAACTCCCTTAGAGCTCCGGGCTTGAATGAATAGGAAGGAAACATGGTCTGTTTAGGAAAGGGTGCTCTCCCGGTGGAAACACCGCTCTCTGCCTGTTTGCATGGCCGTAGGAACATCTGCTAATTGTGCTGAACTCTCCTTGTAAATGCTAGCATTCAGGGTCCCTGCTTGCTATGAAGGCTGGTCAAGGTCAAGGTGTCAATCAAATTGCAGTGGGATGAAGCCAGCCCCCTCTGCACCACAGCTGATGAACTTGCCCTACTTTGTCCAAATGCAAAACCACTGCACTCTCCGGACAGCTGTATTTCCCCTGCAGGCCCTCAGAGAGCAGTAACTCAGCTAAAGTTGAGTCAGGGCTGGCAGAAGGCCTCGGTGGAATGGCTCTTAAATCTGCTCGTTCCTTCCCGGTTACTTGTTACTCTTTGCCATTTGAAACACTTTGTAAACTGTAAATCGCTAGTAAGCATCAGTTCATAGGATTCGCTCATTCATTCAACAAACATTTGCTAAGCACCTAGCATGTGCCAGATGCTGAGCCAAGTGACAGTGACACAGATGAGTAAGACGTAGATGGTCACAGTTCTCCAGCCTGGGGATCAGACAGGGTGGAGGGTTTTTAGGAAGGGGATCAGAGAAGGCGACTCCTGAACTAAGTGTTGGAAAGAGCGTCCCAGCTGAGTAGGCAGCAGGAACCGCAGGAGCAAAACCTCTAAGGTGAGAGAAAGCACGCTGGAGGCAAAGGAGCATCGCGGCTCACTGCAGCACGGAAGAGAAAAGACGAGGGTGATCACTCGCTGAAGACAACAACAGGCTACAATAGGTCACGAGAGGAGTTGTCCTTATTGGAATAGGTGATAGATAATAAGTCGGTTTCAACAGAGAGGTGTTTTTTTTCTAAGCCTATTGCTTATTATTATTGTTGTTATTGCTATTATTATTATATCAGAAAAAGTACTCTGGCCACACCTGAGGGTTCTCCCCACTGTGTGGGTATGTGAGTGAGCCGTGGAAATTTTAAAAGGCTGCAGGGAGCACAGAGAGCGGAGGAAGGGGCTGGGGCCGAGGCCAGGCAGCCTGGCCCCTTTAGCAAGGGTTTGCAGCCCCACTGCCCGACGGGAGCCAGTGTGCTCCAGGCCTTGCGGTGTGGTGTGTATTATTATAGACGGGTCACCTGGGACTCCAGCCACCAGTTCCCCACCCACTGGAGCACCCCCTGCATGGCGCCTGCTCGACACCCACCGGGGAGGCACCCTGGCCCCGCTCTCAGGGCTGTGCGGCCTAAAGGAGAGGTCCTCGCTCCGGTTGCACGTGAGGGTCGCCTGGAGAGCTTTTAAAACTGAGGACTGGGCCCCTCCCTAGACCGTTGATACTAGAATCCCCCTGGGAGGATCTGTCCTTCCTACCCGAAGTGCCCGTAGGAGATGAGGATGTAGCACGGGCGATCGGGCAAGACGAGACGGCGTGCTGTGAGCGCGCGGAGGAAGCAGGGTCTGCAGGAGGAGGTGGCACGTGGCACTCGGGGGCTGGGTAGCGACCGTGGCAACCACAGGCTGCGCCGGGGTGCTGGCCTGGAGCCCGTGGCCCAGTCCTGGCGCTGACCCAGTGCCTTAGGTATCGCGCTACCATCTCCATTTCCTCAGCATCTTCAAAGATAACACTACTGCACCCTGGATGGTTTAAATAATAGAAATTTGTCATCTCACAGTTTGGGAGGCTAGAAGGCCAAGGTCAAGGTGTCAGCAGGGGTGGTTCCTCCTGAGGCTGCGAGGGAGAGTCTGTTCCAGGTCTCTCCTTTAGCCCGTGGTTTGCTGGCCATCCTTGGCGCTCCTTGGCTCATGGACATGTCACCCGGACCCCATATCTCGACCTGCCTCTTCCCGTGGCCTGTGTGCGTGTCTCTGCCTCTGGACTAAGGAAATTCACACATAGAGACATGCACACAGGGAGAAGGTCGTGTTGGATTAGGGCCCACACTAATGGCCTCATGTTAACTTGATCCCCTCTGTAAAGACTCTGTCTCCAAATAAGATCACATTCTGAGGAACTGGGCATTGAGGACTGTAACATATGAATTGTGAAGGGGCACCAGAATAACAATTATTATTATTTCTACCCATTCTTTGAATATTAGGTCCCAGACCCTACCTGATATTATCTTGTTAATTCTCCTCCAAACACTGTGCGGTCGATGGTATCGTCCTTATTTTAGAAATGCAGAAAGGGAGCTGCAAAGAGGTGCAGTGGCCAGTCTGGGATCGGTGACAGGAAGCCGACGGCAGAGCCTTTTCTAAGCCAGGTTTGCCCGTGTGTTCTCCATTGTTCCCCTGAAGGATGGGGCAAGTCTGCCTGAGCTCCTGAAGCCCCTTCGGGTTTCTGCGGGCTGTATTTTTCTGCGGGGGAGAGAGTGAGAGGCTTATTTGGCTTTGCCATTCTCCAGAAAATGCAACTGGGCAGCACGCAGGGAAAGGTATGCACGTATGGAATGAGTAACAGATCCTGAAGTGCCAGCTGTCTGTCTTTATTCATAGCCTTTCAGAGCTGGAGGTACAGCACCCTGCAGGAGGAGGAGGAGGTGGGAGGAGGACAGGAGATTGTGTAATTCCTACAGGAAGAAAGCCAAAAGACAAGGGAGAATGCAAGCGGCGTCGGCACACAGGCGACGGTACAGAAATAAGATGAATGTTCAGCTGTGTCCTGAAATGGTCATGGAGCATGGGGCTGGAGGAACGGTTGCCTTTTGCAGTGTTGCTGGAGGCATGATCTAGGCTTCATAAATTATCTGCCGCTCTGCTCTGCTCAGCTTTGTTCGAGAAGCATGTGCTGGGAGCTGTTTGGGCTCCACACTCACACATCGGTAGAGCCCATGCCCTGTGGAAGCTCAGAGGCCACCGAGGCTGCAGAGCCACAAAGATTTCACCATGGGACCACGTGCAGAAGGAGGCAGAGGCAGCTCAGGGAAAGCTGAAGAGAAGCTACCAAGCAAGCCAAGGAGTCAGGGAGGGCTTCTAGGGGGAGGTGACGGCTGAATGTTCAGAGATGAGCAGGAGGCCACAGGCTGAAGATCAGGAAGGCAGCTGTACTAACAAAGGCACTTGTGTGGAATAACATGTGTGGTGACCAGCATGCATGGGGATTTGGATTTGGGCTAAATGTGCCTCTTCTGATGAAGTGAAAAATGCAGAGCTCCTCTTCCAGGATTAAGTAGCACGGCTGCCCAGCCTCTCCCACTGGAATCTCACGGGGACTGGAGTACAATATGATCCCCCCACCATCACAGTTGTGTTTTGGCACAATAGGCTAACAGTTGCCAAATATATACTTAGCTGAATGTGAATCAGAAAAATCAAAGCACTTTAAGAAAGGGATTAATTATTAAGAGCATATCCTTTAAAGCTTAGCACTTAGGAAATAGCTACAAATTGGTTCTGAATAGAGCGGTGAAGAGATTCTGGACATACCTATTAGGTTCTTGTACCATAACATCTTGCAAAACATTAGCTGACCCAGGTAATAAAAAAAGAAGTTCACGTAACCCCTGCTAACTATTAAAATTCTTCCATTACTTTCTTTTGAGAACACCCAAAGATTAGCCAAACATTAGGGAACATACCCTGCTGTGGCTAAGTTTTGTGTACTGTGTCTTCCTGCTGGTAAAATGGTGCTTAGTTTGTAAAAGTAGCAAGGGGCAGAACTTCAGAAAAAGAGATCTGTTGTTCATATAAATAACCTCCCTCCACTGTCTTATGCTAACAGAGATATCACATAAAACAATCATATCATAGAGGTACGTTTTTCCTTGGTATAAAAGCCTGTTTTCTTTGTAATGTTAATCCTAATGTGGTTTTTAGAAGAAAATTAAATATTGATGAACTTGCGGATAGTAATGTGTCTTAATTCATTGTAGAAACTTTTAAAGAAATTGATGGTTATTCTTTCAAGATTACCTTTCTGCCTGTAAACACTTTGACTTGTATTCAAATGAAATTTTTACTGTTAAATTATACATCTGAAATGGAATCCATCTTTAAGGGAGGCATTTTTAAAACTGAATCCTGCTTTGTACTGTTTTTAGGGGTTTAGAATGCTTGGGTTTCTATTGTTTAAAAGTTTGCTCATGTGTCATTCAAGAAAAACAGGAGCCACTTTAAGTATTTAAAACAGGAGGGATTTAATCCAAGGAATTCCACTGGCGATGGAAGATCAGAGAAACCAAACAGAGGAGAACAAAGCGACCCAGGGATCAGCAAGAGGAGGAAGCCAGGACCTTCCCAAGCTGGACAGCAGAGGGACAAGGCTATGTCCCCCGGGTCCAGGGACTGGGGTTCCCAGCCTAGGCCAGGAAGGCACTTGGAGGCAGGAGGGCAGAACGGGAGGGAGAGCGACTCAGCCTTCCCTACCGCCTTCCTCTCTCTCCCGTCCAAGACACTGTGTGGCCAAGCGGAGTCCAGAGCCAGCGCAGAAGGCAGCCTGGGAACTGCAGGGTGTCCTGTCGGGCTGTGCGAGACAGAGTGCAAAGGCAGGGCCAGGACAGATCCACGGGCAGGATCTGCACAGCTGGTCGGCTTTTCACCGGCTTTACTTGCTTCCCAAGGAAGAAGGAGTGAGGGCACGTAGCCCCTCTTCGATAAAGACTGGTGAGGGGAGAGAGAGGGGGAGAGAGACAAGTGATCCAGGCAGAGAAATAAGATATGAGCCAGAACTGGAGCACTGCTCTCCCTCCCTCCCTCCCTCCCATCCTGTCTTTCTGTCTACACCCTGGAGCCTGGAGCCTAATGGGCCTGATGTTAGCCTTTGTTTGTTTTTCCTCCTGACTCTCCCCATTTCCTTTCATACCTTTCCTAAATCACCAGCTCCCCACCCCACGCGTGCCTCATGGGCTCCTCCCTGAGAAGTGCATTTGCTGGGGGCAGCTGGGGAAAGCCCTGGGGGAGGAGAGGCTGTGTTAGGCACAGAAGCCATAAGGCTGTTCCCCTTTTCCAGTCATTTGTCGCTTTGCATATGTGGCCCCTCCCACACTGTCAGCAGCCAGGCGGTGGCTCCTGAGGGCGGGGGTCCCCTCTGCGTCTCACAGGTGCTGCACAAAGTGGGTGCCCAATGCCTGGGAGTCTGGGCTTGAAACCCGCCTCTGCCACTAAGTAAGTATGTGACATTGGGGAAGGTCCTAATTCCCTGAATTCTGTTTTCTCGTCTTAAAAACGGAATGGAGCTTCTTATTATTAATATCAACTCTTCACGGTTTTTATCGGAATAACCAATGCACTCTGTCAGGCATATACCTGAATCTCGAGTTCTGACTATTCGTTAATTTAAACAGGTGATTCCCGCCCGGGTTACCGCAGCTGCCTCCTCCTAAGGCCTCCCCAGTTGGGCTCTCAGCTCCCACTGCCTCCTGGCGACACAGCAGCCAAAGGGATCCTTTCAAATCCCAAGCTGGATCTGCACGCTGCACCTGGCTCTCGGAGCTGCTGGGGCACCCGCTCCACTCAGGGTGACCCTGGAAGTCCTTGCCGCCGCCGTAGCCTCCTGGCCCCAGGCGATGCGGCTCCGGTCTCCGTGTCCCGCTTGCTCCTGGCTTAGGCTCACCCCTGCCGGGAGGCCTGCCGGCGGGCTGTCCTGAGATCCTCTCCCCTCACTGTCCACAAGGCTAGGTGCTCATGGCTTTTGAGCCGTGGCTCACATGCCGCCCTGTTACTGAGCCCCCTGCAACACTGCTACTGAAATTGCAGCTCACCTGCACCTGGCCCAGTGCCTGGCATCTCTGATCCTTCCTCCTTCACTTGGGAAACGTTTCCTTCTGTCCCTGGCACGTAGCGTGCTCTCACGTGCACACACCAGGTCCTTCTCACGGGCTCAGGTATGGTTCCCTGGAATCCATTTCAGCTGCTGAGAGATGGGTGCTGGCTCTGCTCCTCCCGGGCAGGCCACTGGGCCCTCTTAGGACGTCTGTGTCCTCCTTGCTACGTGAAAGGGTTGGCTTCCCTGAGCTCCGACTTGCCTTTGGAATTAAATTCCATTGTATTGCCCGTGCACGCCTTTGAACTGCCACCTGCTCTGCAAGTGGAGAGCACCCGTCTGCCCCTGCACATCTGCCCCCATTGGCAGGCTGGAGGTGGCAGATTAATAACCTGAGAGGCTAACTCCACGAAGCAGGGAAAGCAGAGTGAGAAGCCTTCCAGAGACCCTCTGCAGAGAGACAGGGCTGGTTGCTCCTGACCTGGTTGTCCCTTATTCCAGGGACACCCCCCTTCTGCCCCCGCCACGGTCCCTAATGCGGCTGCTGTGTTGACTGTGCGGGGGAGGATGGGTGCCGAGATGACCACAGCTCAAGTCGAACTTACCTCTGAAGAATGTCCGGGTCCTCAGCTGTTCATTTGACCTGTCCATTCGACGAGTTGCTCATTCCTCTCTCCAGCGTATTGTCCTTAGGACACCGGACACCTTTACAAGGTATCTCCGGGTTTCTTAGGCTTCCTCCCAAACCCCTAGTTTGTAGATTTGTGTTGTCCCCTCTCTGAGCCACTGTGTGTGCTGTCTGCTTAGGCCCCGGTGCCTTTGCCGGCCCGGCCTCCTCACTCCTGCAGGCGCCTGTGGCAGGGACACAGGGACCTGTGGCAGGGGCCTCTGTGCTCACAACGGGCTCCCTGTGCTCCCCAGTGTCCTTGCACTTGGCTAAGGGCCCTGGATGAGTAAGGCAGGACATGCGCCCCTCTCAGAGTGGGGTGTCCTCCCGAGACACCCTGCGCCCCGTCTGCCGGCTGATGACAACAGCAGGTCAGCTCGGGCCAGAAGGTGGTGACAATGGCACTGCCGAAGGGAGCCGCACACCACTCACCTGTGGTGAGTGAGAAACAAACTTCTTCTGTGGAAGCGACTGTAAACGTTGTGGTTATCTGCAAGCAAGTCGTCCATTCTACAAATGCATGCATCTATGAACGCATGTGCCAGTGCTGCGCTAAGCACGGGGGATGAATGAAACGTAGTGATGAATGAAACAGATCTAGAACCTGCCACGGCGGGATCCCGCAGCTCTGCGTGAGAGACGGACCTTACCCAGCTGCCATGGGACGCGCACAAGGGGCTGAGGAGGACTCGTGCGGGGGAACAGAGACTGGTGCCGAACGTGAGGACCAATGGGACTCAGTCCAGCTTGGGGCCTGGAAGGATTCCCTTAGTCAGTAAAATCTGAGCTGCAGCCTGGAGGCTGAGGGCCCTGGAGGAAGGGAGGGCTTTGGGGAGCGGGGACTGCGTTCAGGTCGCCAGCCACACAGGGGCTCCGGGCTGCCGAAGGAGGGAGGGCCGGCGGGGCGCCCGCAGTGCCGTGAAGTGAGCACAGTGCTTTGCTCCTAGCAGGGATTGATGTTTGCTAATTACATGACCAAAGGAATGAATGCACCACTTAGCTAAAAACTGGAAAAGATCAAAGGAAGTAGAAACAAGAAGAGGAATACAAATTTGGGGATGAAAGATGCCTTCTTGGAAAAAGAAATATCTGTATCTGCACAAAAAGAGGCATTAGTATATGGGGAGAGCCCGATTTAGCATCTCCCTCCCTCCCAGCCCTGCTGCGGTTGGAGGGAGGCACGTGAAGCGCTCTGCAAGCTCATGTCATGAAGCTTAGGAGGGGTCCTTCCGCAGTGAGGAGACATCCTCTGGAGGCCGTCTCTCTCCACAGGCGCCGGGCCGCGGGGGCTGGTGCATCAGGCAGCGGAGAGGAGAGTTTGCTTTCCACATATTCTACAGAATGGAACAAACTTGATGGGCGGATCTTCCTGGCAAATCCGGACATGGCGTTGGAGAGAAGACGCAGCCATCTATTTCCAGTCTCCTGCACTGCCACAATGGAACAGCCCCGTGTGCTGTTTGGTGGTTAATGAACGGATAATTTATATTTTATAACATAAACTCTCAGAGTTTCCTGTATGTAATGACAATAGCCCATGCACACACAGCTACCTTTGTGGAACCTACAAATGTCATTGCTTGGGGCCAGATGTAATGTGCAATAAATAATTTAGCAACAAAGCTCTCTTCATTCTATTTTACAGTAAGTTAGAATCCATCCCCATGGCCACTGTGAAACACCACTTAGTGGACTGGCAAATTCCAAATATATCTCCAGTGTAACCCGAGTCACACTGAAAGACCTCCAACAATTCCAAAGATACTTGCATGCTTGGAAGTTCTGTGCCCTCAAAATTAGCACATGTCTTTTTTATCCTGCCTTTTTTTTTTTTTCTGCTTCAAATTAATTGACTGCCTGATATGCATGCATACTTGTTTGTATCTTTGAGTGCATTTTTCACCTCCTAAAATGCTTCATATAGAAACTATGGCACCCCATTCCCTCACTGTGTGATGTTAATGCTTCATGTCTAAGAGCTTTGCAGATTCCACATGTGCTCATCACAATCATGTGATCGACCAGAAGATCCTTTCACATATATGGAAACCAAGCTTCAGAGGCTTCCGCCTTTCCCAAAGGGCCCTAATTGGCATGCGCTCCTTTAGTCAAAATATTTAATGAGCACCTGCTATGTGAAAGGTGTTGTAGTTACAGTGGGCACTGGGTCACATGCTGGGAAAGACAGAGGTTGTCCCTGACTTCATCCAACTTACATTCTCGTGGAGCAGCAGATGGCCTTTTGTCACAGCTGTGATGATGCCAGGGGCAGTGCGCAGGGTGACAGCAAGCATGAAGCAGGGGTGGGGTGGCTCAGTCCAGGAGGCCAGGGGAAGCCTCCCCAATGAAATGGCATGTGAAATCGGAATTAACTGTGCAACAGAGAGAATGGGAGAACATTTTAAAGAGGGACTAGCAAGTGCAAAGGCCCTGAGGCAGAACCTGGTTGAGCCCTGGAAGAACTTCCTCAAATGGCAGAGATCTTCAAAGTCATGCCTTTGACACCGACTGCCATGCTTTTTTTTTTTTGTTATAATGGAAAGAACTTGGAACATTTTGTCCTGGCTCTGGACTGAGAAGACCATTTCTACCTCCAAGGAAAAAGGCTTCACACTCTACCCTCAGCCTTAGAATGCAGGCTGCTTTGAGGCATGAGAGACAATTAATAACAACTGGTGGCAGATCTACTCAGGGCCTCCTGAGTCAATGGCAATTGACAGCAGTGTCTGTTTCCTGAAGTGGGACGTAAAGAATAATGAGAAAGACCCAATGAGTAACTGTAACTCACACTCTGATGGCACTTCCCTAGACTCTTGGGTTCCAGTCTCTCAACAGCCATGTGAATTCATACAACCATCCCCATTTTGTACTTGAGGTTACTGAAGTTTAAAAGATAAAGTTGCTTGTCCAAGACACTCTCTTGTTAATAAGCAGAATTTGAATCTAAGTCTTTCGTCCCAGCTTCTGTGTCTCTTCCAATTCAGCATTATCCTGGACTCCCTGCATCGCAGCTCTGTGGCATGGAGTAACTTACTTAACATCTTTGCAACTCAGTGTTTTCCTCTATAAAGTGGAAGTAATAACACTGACTCAGGGGTTAGAGTGACGATTAATTCAGTTCATCTATGTAACATGCTCAGACAGTGCCCAGCACAGAGTAAGGCTATATGAGTGTTAACCATATTGTTGATTCTTGTTATTATTGTCTCCAGCACAACTTGGTTTAATATTTTCATTTTATATTAATGGCTTTTGCCCCTTCTATCAGCTTATTCTGAAAGTAATAATGAGTAGATAAGATCACCAAAAAGGTACTCTTTTTTGTTTTGATAAATAGAATCAATTAAAATTGACGGATAAGCTACACAGGCTATCCTAATTTGACTGTCATCACTTTTCCATTTCAGGGTTCCCTCCCCTGCTTCCTCTGCCTCGGAGCCAGACAGAGGGCCCTGAAACTCTGAGAGTGATCCCTCCGCAGGAGGCCTGTCGGAAAGGGTGTTGGGTCTTAATGTTTCCAGCTGCAGTCAACGCAAGCCGCTGGTGAGGTTTCAGTTTCTAAAATGTGGTCAAGGGGCCAATCCAAGTAGCTTCATCTTTGGTTTCTCATTTTGGCGAGCTGCCCGAGGGCAGGGGCGCTGTCTGTCTTGCTCTGGGCTCTATCTGCAGCACAATCCCGGTGCCGCTGATGCTGGCAAGTGTTGGGTGAGGCGTGAACGTAGGTCACTGGGGCATCTCGAGGAAGCCCAAAGCGTCACTTCTTGTATCCATGAGCCGGTTATTGAACCCACCCTAATAAGACCAGTCTCTCTTCAGGCTGCCTCTATGGTGACTATTTCCTCAACAGTAGTTTATTTTCACGTAATTGAAGTTTCTACCCCACCTCATTCTTTTAAGTAGAGTTATCAAAAAGAAAAAACACACAAAATCAACAGCAAGGCCCAGCACAGTGAAAGGTGGTGGCTAAACAGGCAGGCCTTGCTACAGTTAGAAAAGGGAGCAATCACTATAGGCTGAAAGCTCAGGATTCCTTTGAAGTTCAAGGTCCATCTAAATCCA